TATGATCTATTAGCAATTTGATTTCAATTCCCAGGGACCTAAAATCTTTTATGCTTAAGAATTGCAAACGGATTTCTTAGGAAATTCCGAGGTTGCGTTTTTTTTTATACACCCTGTATAGCTAGAGTTATTCACGTCTCGTTTTTCAATACTCCCAAAAAAACAAAACTATTGAAATAGCGTATTGTTAGAATTTGAATGGCTCACGGCAATCTGCTGAACTCACAAGCTTCACATAAGTAAATAGTTTATGCATAAAGAAACTGTTTAAAAGAATGTTTGTAAGAGAGATTTATGCGCAGCGTTATAACAATGAAAATGCGTTGTTCCGTGGTGAATTGAACCATTTTCTCCCAAACTGATAATACGACTAATTTGTAATTTTATCATTTTTGTTCAGTTATTCTCTTTTAGAATTTAAGAAGTTGCTTTAAATTCCTAAGAGCAGAAAATCGTGGGCTTTACGAAGATATTTTAAATCGTATGAAATCGACATATTCGATCGCGACATCCTATGACCCTTCCAAATCTAACCCTGTAACTTAAACCTGTAACTTTAACCATATATTAGTAGTGGTACACATTTGTTCGAAGAAAACAAAATTACCAATGTATTCCTTCTTTTCCACTAAAACCCATTCGTAGATATCTTATTAATAACAAATTAAATTACAATTTCCAAATTTTCAATTAGTTTTGCTGTTTTTAAAATGCATGCGTTTGTTCTTAATACGTAATGGAAATAGGGGTAGCCAGAACAGACACGTGACACTGCCCATTTTCACGTGATTGGAAATGGAGGCGACAGATTTTGTGTATCCAATGCACACTGCATAAAGTGTTATTTTGAAGGGTTAACCGCTATATATCGACATATACTTATTATATGCTATTTGAATGCCAGGGTTGGGCAAAACCAACGACTAAAAACGTTACAAAAGCATACTTAGATATACAGTACAAATAACAGCAAATTATTATATGATATATTATGCGAATAACTAATGATATAGTAATGCATGGTTGCACGCATATATAATAAACTAAACACTGTTCCAGAACACTGTGTGCACTTTATTTCATATCGTTCCAGAACAGTGTTCCAAATGTTCTAGAACAGTAAATGGAGCAAACAGTTGATAAACATAGAATGATCACATGACCGGTGTTTCAACCCTATTATTAATTATGCTATATATTACCTCATACGCCCCCGCATTACTTACTTGCTGAGGATTCTGTAGTACTTCATATAGATCTTTTTTTGTTCTTTCTCTATTCATAGTCTTCATAATATCATGGTTGTTGGCAAACTTCAAACATACATGGAGGTTGAACAGTCAGTTTGACCCTGCACATATTGGTTGTAATCAATGAGAATTGACCAAACGATGTAACACAAACATTCTCCATCGAAAAATGGTGGTAACTTCGTTATTTGCAAAATATGCCGTAAGATATAGCCCTGGTAGGCAAAACAAATAATTGGTACCCATTCCCTTTCACCAAGCTTTCTGAACTGACTAGATTGTCAAACAATAGAAAGACAAAGGATTTTTCAACCGTGACCCTGCACAAGGTACACAATCACCTAAAACAAAGGGTTTCCAAACCATGTCATATATATTAACTATGATAATATATTCGTCAATGTTGTTGCGAAGGTTTATGCAAAATTTTTAAAGAAAGTTTATTATTTTGATTATTTTATACGTGTTACTGGCAGTAGTTGAGCCCCCTGTGTGTTTGTCGCTAACAGCCTATAACCTCATCCGAGGGGCAATTCACTCCAAAAATCCCGTACACTTCGTCAAAAAATCCGGAAAAAATCCAGAAAAAATCCATGAAATCCTCAAAATCCGATGAATCCATCAAAATCCGAAAAATCCTTTAAAAACCACAGAAATCCTTCAAAAATCCACAGAAATCCTTCAAAATCCTCAAAAAAATCCGCAAATCCACAAAAAATATATGAAGTACTTGGTGTAATTTACTCGTAAAGGTTCTTTGCCACGTTCAAAATGGCGGACAGCGAAAGCTAAACGCTTACCGTGATCTCTGTCATTATATTTCGTAATTATTGGACCACTCTACATTTCCATTTATACGCTCGAGTATATGCTAAGTTTTTTTAGCCTACTACTACTAAATATGTGTTCTTGTTACAATGACGTTATGTTGTAAAATATAATTACAAAACCAAAAGTTATTCACCATTGTCTTTTACTGTTTTTGAAAGAATAATGAACTTGTTTGAATTTTAAACAAAATGACTGCATGCCCAGCATTCGTTAGTTTCTGAAGGCTGTGGTCCTAGTCCCAGTCCTCTGCTCGAGCCTGACGTCCTGGCATAACGTTGACGTCGTACACTCGTACAACTTAAGATTATTTGTTCAAAACGTTACCTAGCTCTATAAATCTATAATTAAAAAAAATCCAGAAAAATTCCGAACAAATCCGGAAAATCCAACAGATTTTCAAAAATCCAGAAAAAATCCGAACAAATCCGGAAAATCCGAACAAATCCGGAAAATCCAGCAAATTTTCTCTTCAAAAATCCGCTAAAAAATCCGGGAAAATCCGCTAAAAAATCCGAAAATCCCGTACGCTTTTTTCGAGTGAAATGCCCCTCGACCTCATCAACAGGAGTTGGTTTTCATGAGAGGCCTCACCAACCTCGCAAGCCAAGCTCTCTACTTCCCAAACAAGCGGGGAAGGGAAGCGTCACAAACCAATTAAAAATATTTACAAATATACTTAAAGTAGGTGTGTCCATACATGGGTATTAATATTTAACAATTATTCGCCGAAGGCGAGGTGATTATCGGTGAATAAAAACCAAGACGAAGTCGAGGTTTTTATTCACGATAATCACCGAGCCTGAGGTGAATAATTGTTTTAGTATAATTTCACAGGTGATTATTGACATTATTTGGAAAAAAAATAAAAAATACACATTTCGTCGTCATTTAATTGACAAAACGGCTTCGGCCGCCATTTTGAAAATCGCTTAGGTGATTATCGCGTAATAATCACCTCAACGGCAACCAATCAGCGTGGAGAATTTTCAATAATCACCTATGTAGTTATACTAATAATTATTAATATGGATATTCATTTTAAAGGAATAGATCGGATTGCGCCTCTTTTGCTTCCCGAGAAAGGCTGTTCTAAAGCTTTGCCCCATTGTGTTTAAAGCTTTTTTCAGGAACTCCCTTCTCGGTTTTCTAAGATTAGAGTGCAAGCTATCCGGAGCTGAGCAACCAATCAAATTGCTTGAAAAGTAACAATAAATATTTTTACCCTCAAACAATACGTATACAAAACTGAAAACATAAAAGGTGTTCACTTAAATTCAGTGGCGTAGCTAGCCCGACGATTTAGTCCCGTTATTCAAATATTTTTGTGTTCATTGATTGCGAAAACACTGGCGAAACGCACATGACGTTTTAACGTGGAAATTTAGTTGAAAAAAGGTTGCGACCTCGACAACCTAATTAGCCTCCTCCGCATGTCGTTTTACAAACGTTGCCTTCAACATCAGCTATCAGACGTCGAATCAACGTTCATTCATGCGTGCATGCATGGTTGATTATATGACGTCAGCTTGTGAAGTAATCTCAACGTTGTTTCAACGTCACAAGTGTAAAGTTGATCCAATTTGCATTTTCAATCTTTTTCAACGTCTATCCAACGTCTGGAAGGTTATTTCTGACGTTGATTCAACGTTGAATCACAGAATAGATACCAGACCAGAAGAGACACTCCTATGTGTTTTGGCGAAGGAAAACGTCCGAAATTTTTTACGTGCTATGACGCCATCCTGGAGTGTACACGGCACTTTGTACCTATGTTTTCCTATGAAAAACTTCCGTGTGCACTCCAGGATGGCGTCATATGATGGCGTATTTTCACGTCAGCACTCGTAAAATTTCGGACAAAATATCGTCTGAGTGACACTTCTGGTCCTGTATCTATTCTGTGGTTGAGCCCTCTCGGCTATCTTTAAAACAGGGAATGGGGAATCCGGGAATCGGGGAATCCGGGAATCGGGGAATCCGGGAATCGGGATACGGGAATCGTGCTAATTTATAATACTAATTATTTTATATTTAAACTGATAAGACGGGGATATTAGTGTGCTTGTTGGAATACGCATTTGTTTAGAATAATATACAGACGATAAACACATAGTGTACACTGCGAATCAGCTGTTTTATTATATGTAGCTCATGCTTATGGTAACAGCGCGATATTTTGGTAATTGCCGGTACTGACTTGTAAAAATATACCGCGACGTTGGCTTTAATACTTAACGCGTGGGCTTTTAATGCATTTCCAGCTGTATGATGCTTGCATTCAAAAACTTGCGCGTTGGAACAAGATTCTTTAGACGCTATAATGTCTAATTGAAATTCAATAAAATTATATGTTATTAAAATCACATATATGTACAGCGCGCTGTTACACATCTATAATATATTATAAGCATGAGTTATATAATAAGACAACTGATTTGCAGTGCAGGACGCTATGTGTTCATCGCGATCGTCTGTATATTATTCTAAACAAATGCGTTTTCCAACAAGCACACGTATGTGTGTGTATGTATGTGTGTGTATGTATGTATGTATGTATGTATGTAATGTATGTATGTATGTATGTATGTATGTATGTATGTATGTATGTATGTATGTATGTATGTATGTATGTATGTATGTATGTATGTATGTATGTATGTATGTATGTATGTATGTATGTATGTATGTATGTATGTATGTGTGTATGTATGTATGTATGTGTGTATGTATGTATGTATGTATGTATGTATGTATGTATGTATGTATGTATGTATGTATGTATGTATGTATGTATGTATGTATGTATGTATGTATGTAATATCCCCGTCTTATCAGTTTAAATATACAATAATTACTTAATTAGTACTATAAATTAGCAAGGAGTGAGGGTTGAATCAACGTCATTTTTTGGGTCAAGGTCGCATGAATAAACATTTTTTATTGAAACATATGACTTGAATAAATATTGTTTTGAAAATACTACAACTTGTATCCAATGTCAATTATGTCATTGAACCAGATTTCTCTTCCAGTAAGCATTTTAAGCTCCAGGCGACTAGGCAAAGACAACTGCGTTCATACATGCACTTCAACTCGGCTGTCTTCATGTTTCCAGCTATAAAATTTTCAATATCTCTTCTGAAATCTTCGTTTAAAAAACGCATCCTACAATCTTTTCCAGGGGTATATGGTTTTATCTGATAGTGTTGCACCTCCCTTGCCTACTTATGATAATTTTGTTTTATTACGAGGCTAAAAAACATCGATTTTTAGTCAGCATAACCTTCGGCTACCATGCCATTTCTTTACGTCACAAAACAAAGGTAATTTCCCCAAAGATAATTCTTTTCAGATTTTCATCCATCTTGCATGGAAATAACATACTGTTCGTGCTAGCGTCAATAATAACAAGCTTTATCTTTCTTTGGTAGGGATGCAACTACCTGAAAAATATAAGGAGAATTTCGACGTTTCGAGCGAATTAAGGCTTCGTCTGGAGTTGAGTAATTGAGTAGTTGATTTTTATTGGCTTATTTAATCCTTCTGGACTACCTAACTGTGAGAATGTTATGACACTAGCGCTTGTGCTTGCAGATTAGCAAAGGTTAGCGTGCTTGCTTGTGACGTCATTCAAGCAAGTGCTAGAATGTTAAGCAAACTCAGCACGTCGCGGTCACACGGAAAAAGCACTTATGCTTGCTTAAGATTGTAATGACAGATAAAGTGTCTTTGGTTTTTGTTAAATTTACATTATGCAATTCTTCGTTATATAAATATATATAGACTTAAAATGGACAGAGATTCTTTGCTTTTATTTCATTTTATGTGTCAACGTTTTCGCGTTTCGATGCTAAAAAACGAAGAGCGCTTAATCGCAGAAGGCGACGAATGTACCTTTTGCTTCACCAAATGAAACAAAACATGCGACGCTTGCAGATGCTTCAGACGACAACAACATTGCTTTTTATCGCGATCGCCAGACTGCCAGAGTGATCAACCCAAGAGTTGATCGTGAGTTTTGGGTTATTCCTAGACCAGGAGTTGGATCGCACTTTCTTTGTTTTGTTTTCGGTTCGGAGTTGAATCCATTCTGATTTTTTAGAATACGAAAGATAGTGCGACTGCCTGCAATATGTGTGTCTGTGTTTCGAAATTGGCGCGTTAATGCAATTTTTGGTCTTATCAGGATTTCTAATGGATACTTAAACAGGGAGCGTTTTTATTGGTCGCGTTGCATAAATCCTCTTGAGATATGCATTCTAGCACAGTTCAGTCACGGCTATCTTTAAAAGGGGGAACGGGGAATCGGGGAATGGGGGAACGGGGAATGGGGGAACGGGGAATGGGGGAATCGGGGAATATCATATTCCCCCTTTTAAAGATCTTTAAAAGGGGGAATATGGAATATTCCCCCTTTTAAAGATCTTTAAAAGAGGGAATATTTCATATTCTTTAAAAGGGGGAATAGTTAATATTCCCCCTTTTAAAGATCTTTAAAAGGGGGAGTATTCCAAAGGGGGAATATTCCAAAGGGGGAATATTGGAATATTCCCCCTTTTAAAGATCTTTACATTTTTTTTTGATCGAGACACCGGGCAACTTCAATATTCCAGAGGACCAGTGAACATTCATTTTCATCTGAGATCTGCTTGTATCAGAATTAGATACCCACACTTTACCGGCAATGCTCTTGTAATTTCCCAAGATTTCTCACGTTATTTTCGATCAGGACATATCGAAAGACTTGCTAATGAATTTGGGCTCAATCGTTAAGTGCCGTCAATATATAACTGAACAGTGAATCATATGCGCACGCCTATGCGTGGAAACTACAAGGAAATTATAAGTATACAGCATATGAACACAAACATTTGTATCGATTAACTATTCCTATATTAAGACATTGCAGAAAATTTTATTTTATAATAGTTTTGTTAAAGTTGGTTGTGTTACTTATATGAACTGAAGAATTGTAAAAGGTTATGCCATTGCAACATTACAGCTCTTATATTTGTTGGAAAACAATTTAAAGGGACTGGTAATAAAGTGCGGCCGGGGGAGGGAGACTGTACAAGAAGTTACCACCATAGTTGGTGCCGAACACGGAGATTTTAAAAGATTCAAGTCTCAGATAGTTGGAATATAGCACTAATTAACAGTCTCCTGTGCTTTTTTATGACCCAATGAGTACAAAACGTTGTTATACCCATCTAAGCAAATTTTACTGTGACCTACCCTTCAATGTGTGTTAAATATTGAATGGCTGATGGTTTTAGCAAATATTTAATGTGTGACCTGTCCCCATTCTTTCCCGCTGCCTCTTCCCCACTTCATGACCGGTCCCCAACTGCATGACTTATGTACTATTGAATAATACGAATAATACATACTACATACTACATAATACAAAGATAATACATTATACGTATGTCTTATCATTAAGTTGAGTAAGTTGTTATGTTTTGATATGTGATATTACAGTATTGAAATTTTGAATAATAATGCTTACTTTTGGTTTGAAAAAGTCTCTGCTAGAGTAAGTATATTTTGCCGAAAAATGTTGCCGGCTAATAGCATGTTTTATATAGATAAAATGTTTAGTAATCGGTTGTTACTAATGTTTTGAAGTGTTATCCAGAGGTGTTTGCCGCAAGGCTAGGATTAAAGTAATAACTACATTGACAAGTTACAGTGTCACATTACAGTGTCTGTATTCAGACAAAAGAC